TGGGCTACCGAGTGAGTTCCAGGAAAGGTGCAAAGCTACACAGAGAAACCCTGTCTCGAAAAAACAAAAAAAAAAAACAAAAAACAAAACAAACAAACAAACAAAAAAAAGAACACTGGACTCTCTTGCAGAGGACCTAATAGGCTTAATTTCCAGTACCCAAATGGCAGCTCACACTCTTCCAAACTCCAGTTCTAGGGCATCCAACACCCTCTTCCACCCTCTGTAGGCACCAGACACAAACATGGTACATATATATTCATTCAGGGGAAAACATGCATACATATAAAATAAAAGGTCTACCATGGGCTAGTTAAGGTAGCTCATCTGGTAAAGGCATCTGTTACCAAGCCTTATGACCAGTATCATACCCTTGGGACCCACATGGTCAAAAAAGATTGGATTCCTAAAAATTGTTTTCTGACCCACACACACAAATACATAAATGAATGAATGAACATGACTAGGTTTAATGGAATGCCAGCACGCAGGAGACAGAAGCAGATGAGTCCCTATGAGTTTAAAACCAGCCTAGTCTTTGTAGTGAGTTCCAGGCCAATCAAGGATACACAGTGAGACCATCTCAGAAAAACAAAACAACAAAAATATTATTAAGGAGCTGCAGGGATGGCTTAGTGGTTCAGATCCCTGACTGCTCTTCTAGATACCTAGAAAGCCCCAACACCTATATGGCAGCTCATACTGTCTGTACCTCCAGTTCCAGGCAATCCGACACCCTCACACAGGCAAAACACCAATGCACATAAAATAAACAAATCTTTTAAAAAGAAAATGTAATTAAAATGTTTGCTGTAGTAAGTTGGGCTTAACAGTAAAAGTCAAGTCCCAACAAAAGCTGCAAAGAGAAAGGAGATATAATATGATTGTGTGAAACTCACAAAGAGAATTCTTCTCTTAGACGTCTTCTATATTGCTTCTTGGGTTTCATGGTGTTGAAGTAGGGCAGCTTGATAACATCAGGCCACACTGCTGGACAAGGGCTACCACAGAGACGACTGAAAAGAAAGCAAAAGCTGAGTGCAATGAAGCGAATCACCAGTATCATGACTTCTAGAGGTTCTTGAAGGAGAAATTATCTCCTGGGATCTGAGGAAATCTATGGTTTATCATATTAGTAGGTATTTTTAAAAAAAGTGAAGTATGACCTTACTGCTCTAAGGAAAAGCAATAAGAGAACTGGTTACAAGAAAACATACTGGAACCCAGCGCACGCCTTTAATCCCAGCACTCGGGAGGCAGAGCCAGGTGGATCTCTGTGAGTTCAAAGCTAGCCTGGTCTATAGGGTGAGATCCAGGACAGGCACCAAAACGACATAGAGAAACCCTGTCTCAAAAAAAAAAAAAAAAAAAAAAAAAAAAATTAAAAAAAAGAAAAAGAAAACATACTGGAAATACTGAAAGACAGCAAGTACTGAAAGTACAATCCAAAACGATTCACATATTTTGTAAAACATGTTCTTGCCTATGAAGATTCACATCATCAATTTTATTCAATTTAGTTAAAATTAATTTCTTATCTTCTTTTTTTGGACCAGTTCTCTCGATTATGCAGCCCTGGCTTTCCAGGACACATTACATAGATCAGAATAGCCTTGAACTTTGAATTCAAGAACCTTCCTATTCTTCCAGAGGCTGAGATTAAAAACATTGGCCACCCCACACTAAGGAGCATTAATTTCAAACAGTACAAATTGTAAGAGTTGGTGTACGCCTTTAATCTCAGCACTTGGGAGGCAGTGGCAGGTGGATCTCTGAGTTCAAGGCCATTCTAGTCTACAGAGCAACTTCCAGGACAGCCTGGGCTACAGAGACCTTGTTATCTTTGTTTGTTTGTTTGTTTCTTTCTTTCTTTTTTTTAATTATATATACAGTGTTCTGCCTGCATGATTACAGATGGTTGTAAGCTACCATATAGTTGCTAGGAATTGAACTCAGGACCTTTGGAAAAGCAGCCAGTGCCCTTAACTACTGAGCCATGTCTCTAGCCCTTTTGTTTCTTTTTTGAAAAGAAAGAAATGTTTATTGATAACTGAGCATGTATTACTATTACAATAATGAGTTATATATCACCTTTTCCCATTTATTTTATTAAAGAAGGGGAAAAAAAGTCATACATGCCTATAATCCCAGCATTTAGGAGATTGAGGTTAAAGGACTGTGAATTTGTGGTCAGTAGGGCTTATAAAGAGACTCTTCTTCAAAATGAAAAATCAAACAAAAATAACCAAAAGAAAAACAAGGGAAAGGAACAGAAAAAGGAAAGGAAAAAGAAGAAAGCAAAGTATAGCAAGAGAGGCTCAAATTCCATTCTCCAAGCCTTCTCCAAATTGCATATTCATAGATTACATTTTAAAACTGTGGGTAGACAGACAGCTCAGTGAGAAAAGACTCCTCTTGCCAAGCCTTATGACCTGAGTTCAAGCCTCGGGACCTACATGGTGGAAGGAGGAAGAAAACATGTACTCCACAGAGAATTATGTTCTTTGTTTCTTTTTCGAGACCGAGTTTCTCTGTGTAGCTCTGGCTGTCCTGGAACTCAGAGATCTGCCTGCCTCTGCCTCCCAAATGCTGGACTAAAGGCGTGTGCCACCACAGCCCAGCTACACTCCTTTTCTTGAACTGAGCTACACTTAAGAATAAAGTAGCCACCCAAAGAAACAGCATCCTTTATTTGTGTATATGTGTATGCATATAGAGGCCAACCTCAGATGATGTTCCTTAAATGTTATTCACCTGAAGGCTTTCTCATGAGGCCTAAAGCTTGCTGAAGTGGCAACAGTGGCTAGTCAATGAGTGCCAAGATCACCTCTTTCTGCCTCACCAGCAGCCACAAGCATGCAACATCACATCTAGCTTTTTAAAATATAGGTTCTGAGGATCAAATTCAGCTTATCATAACCACACGATAAATACTTTACTACTGAGACATCTACCCAGCCCCCATTTTACTTTTTATTGTTTTAATGAGTTCAATTACATTTATTTAGTTTTTATGGGAAGTGGTGCATATGCCATTTCTCTTCTTTTACCCTGTGGGTCCTGCAGAAGGAACTTAGGTTGTCAGGCTTAATGGTAAGCACCTGTGTACCCAAGAAGCCATCTCACTGGGTGGGCCACTGTAAGTTTGATTCTACAAACACTGACACCACCACTAACCATTGAGCATCATGTGAGGAGCTGAGGTTTGTTGGATCATTTTTCAAGGAGATCAGTCTGAAAAATATTTTTTCAGCAAATTTTTTTACATTTATTATTGTGCACATATCAAACTCAGTGGACAACTTTTGGTAGTCTCTCCTATTATCATGTGAGAGTACCATCAAGCTTGGTTGGAAGCAAGTGTTTTTACCTGTTGAGCCATCTTGCCAGTTTTTTCTACTTCTATTTTTGAGATGGAGACTTACATGACTGCCAAGGCTGGCCCTGAACTCTCGAGCTTAAAGGATTCTTACTGCCTTGGCCTTCTATATAGCTGGTAGTAAAAGCACCACTGTGCTCAAATATAGCGTATTTGTATATGACGAATAAAAATATGAAGTTAAGACTTAGATATTACAGAGCTGGAGAGGTGGCTCAAAGGTTAAAAGCACTTTAAGTAGGATCCAAGTTCAGTTTCCAGCACCCACATGGCAGGCTTTATAACTCCAGTTTTACAGGATCCAACAGCACCATGCATGCATGTGGTGCAATTACATATATGCACTCAAATACATAAGGAACAGAACCCAGATACTCCTCAAGAATAGGAAGAGCTCTCAACTGCTGAGCCATCTCTCCAGTCCCCTAAAACATAATTTCTATGTCCACACGCTAACAAAAAGAAGAGATGGTAAGCTGGACTGAGCAAAGAGGAATTTATTGTATCATTTGATGGAATAACTGAAAAATGTTATAGAAATTGGAGGATTCAATTATCTATTCATTATCTAGTTTTAAAAGTGTGGGTTATATGGGGCTGGAGAGATGGTTCAGTGGTTAAGAGCCCTTGGCTGCTCTTCCAGAGGTCCTGAGTTCAATTCCCAGCAATTACATTGTGGTTCGCAACCACCTGTAATTAAAATCTGGTGCTCTCCTCTGGTCTGTAGGCAAACATACAGGCAGAACATTGAATACATAATAAATAAGTAAACCTTTAAAAAAATAATAAAGTGTGAGTTATGACTAATGATTGCATAACTGGATCATGACAAATTTGGCAACAGTAATACATAAAAAAAACCCAAAAAACTAAAAATCAACTGTGTAATAAGTCTGAGATTTTTCTGGCACCACTCCCCAGTGTTGTGCTGTATGACTTCACTGAAATCTTGACTGAGTACACAACAACCTTGCACTGTGAGTGATATAATCCCAGAGAATGCTGATGAACACTGTCTGAAATACCCCAGCTCAGAACTGAGACTATCGTGCTGTAAACTCAGTGTCTTACTGTATTTATAGCTTTTGGTTCTTTTAAAAACATACTGGCTTAATGAAGAAAAACTAGTTGGGTGTCCTCATCGTGCATGCCTTTAATCCCAGCATTCGGGAGGCAGAGTTAGTTGGATCAAGGCTAGTCTGGTCTACAAAGCCAGTTCCAGTCAGCCAGGGGTAAACAGAGAAGCCCTGTCTTGAAAAAAACAAAATAGAAAAAAAAAAGAAAGGAAAACAAAGGCTTTAGCCTTTAATCTCAGCACTCCAAAGGCAGGAGGATTTCTATGAGGTCCAAACCAGACTGGTCTACAAATCAAGCTCTAAGACAGCCAAGACTGTCCCCCCAAAAATAAAAAAAGGGAAAGCTTTCAATAAATTTGTACGGATGGAGAGATGGCTCAGTAGTTAAGAGCACTGACTGCTCTTACAAAGGACCCAGGTTCAATTCCCAGAACACACATGGCAGTTAAAAACTGTGTGTAACTCCAAGATCTGACACCCTCACACAGACATACATACATGAAAAAACAAGGCACATAAAATAAAAATATATAAAAAAATTAAAAATAAATAAAGCCCTACCATCATTCTGTTTTTTTAAAAGATTTATTTATTTATTTGATGTGTATGAGTGCTCTATCTGCATGCACACCTTTATTTCAGATGAGAGCATCAGATCACACGATCAATGATTGTATGCCTGCATGTGGTTGCTGGGAGTTGAACTCAGAAACTCTAGAAGAGCAGTCACTGCTCTTAACCACTGAACCATCTCACCAGCCCCCTACCATCATTCTTAGGGATGTAAGTATCAAATTAGTATTACTTTTAGATTGTACTATGTTAGAATATTTGATATTAGAAACTGCCATTTGAGTTAATCACTAGAGTTTCACTAAAAAATTAAATGAATTTCCAACTATTTCTTTTATTTACATTATTAATGTTGAGATAAGGTCTCACTATGTAGTGCTGCTGACTTGTCTAGAACTCACGATGTATAACAGGTCTGCCTCTAGCTTCCCAAGTGCTGGGATTAAAGGCACGTGCCACGATGCCTGGTTTCCTTTTTTTTTTAATTTACTTTTATTTTATGTGCATTGGTGTTTTGTCTGCATGTATGTCTGAGAGGGTGTCAGACTGCCTGGAATTGTAGCCACAGATAGTTCTGAGCTGCCATGTGGGTGCTAGGAATTGTACCCACATCCTTTGCAAGAGCAGCCACTGCTCTTAACTACTAAGCCAACTGTCCAGCCCCATTTGGTTTCTTCATTTTTTCCCCCTGATTATTTCTTCCTTTGCCTGTTCTGCCCATCAGTGTTTGTGCAAGTCATTGTACAAGTAGTGGTATTCATTCTCTTCTATCATGGGATCCTAAGATGGAAAGGTTGTAAGTTCATAAGGCTGACATCTATATGCATGAGCCCACACTTAAATTAAAAATTAAAATGAATTGTAAAAATAAACAAGCATATCTATTTGATCAATATACAAGTTTAACTTCACCTTTAATAAATTGTAAAATTAAGTTTATGCCAAAAATTACTTTACAATCAATTCAAAATTTATCATCAGTACATGTTTGATTTGTAAACTTATTATATACATTATATACATCTATTACCCATGGTTGTGTAAAAAACTTCTCAGGTGAAAATAGGTTATAAGTGAAAGAAGTTTAAGAAGTTCTCCTTTAGCTGGGTGGTAGTAGCGAATGCCTTTAATCCCAGCACTCTAGAGGCAGAAATAGGCAGATCTCTGTGAGTTCAAGGCCAGCCTGGTCTACTGAGTGAGTTCAAGGACAGGCTCCAAAGATACAAACCAAACCAACAACAACAACAAGAAGTTCTTATTTATCATACGCAAGCACTTAAGAGCATATGTGTCACTGTACCTGATCAGTTCTAGCTGAGCTAGTTCCAAATTGGCTTGAAAAATAGGTTTCTTGGTGAACAGTTCCCCAAGGATGCATCTAAAAAGAATAAAATTCAAAGGTCAGAAAGAAATACATTGAGCTTATCTAAAGTGTGTCTCAATAAACATTTATAGCATCCTGGGTTACATGCAATATACTGTGTGGTAAAATTAGCCCAGGACTTCAGTGTCTCAGTTTCCTAAAAGATAAAAACAACTTCTTGTAGTAAAAACAGACATTATAAAGGATTTAAATTTGCCAGCAGATCAAACTCTGCTGCCTATAGACAATAGTCCTTTATAAGCAAAAGGAGCTAAGAGTTCTTCATCTCTGTCACACCATGGTAATCTAAGGAAATACAGATAATTTTACAAGGATGGTTAGCAGTTTCTACAAAGAAACCCCTCTGGCAATATATTTACAAAGATACCAATGTGTTATCAGATAAAATGAATTAAATCAAGACTTAAATAAATTCTGTCTAAATACCTTTGTTATTTTGAAATGGACACTCAGCGCTATGGAGATGGTTCAGTAGGTAAAGCAAGTATTGAGACCTGTGTGTGAATCTACAGAAGCCACTTAAAGCTGAGTGTGATTGAGTGCCTATAATCCCAGTGATCCTATAGCAAGATGGGAGACAAAGGCAAGAAGAGAATCCCTTGAAGTTAGGCCAGCAGTGAATAACAAAAGGGAAACACACATCCCTCATTCTCACATGCATACACATCACACATGTAACACAATATAAATGAATAAAACAAAACAAAACTTTAGAAAAAAAAAAAACCAAACATCAGGGCTAGAGAACTATCTCAGTGGTTAAGATCACTTGTTTTTGAAGAGGACCTGGGTTCAATATCTAAGCAACTACAAGGTAGCTCACAACAATCTGCAATCCCACTTTCAGGGGATCTAATACCTTCTTCTGAGATCCTCAGGCACCAGGCATATGGTGGAAAAGATACACACATACACAGAGACAAAGTATTTGCACACATAAAATAAAATAAACTTAAAAAAAGCAGGAGCATGTCGGGCAGTGATGGTGCATCCCTCAATCCTAACATTTGGGAGGCAGAGATATGTATCTCTCTGAGTTGGAGGCCAGTCTGGTCTTTATAATGAGTTTCAGGACAACCTCAAACTGTTTCCAAAAAAGATTTTTTTTTTAAATGCATGGCACTGGTTATTTTAATGTACTTTTTGTTGGGTTTTAGGAACATATAGTCTCATGCAGCCTAGGCTGGCCCTGAACTCCCAATTTTCCAGCCCCCACTTCAAAAATGTCAGGATTTCAGGCTTCTACCACCACCCTGGGCTCTGTACCAATTTTCATTTAAATAGAGTATTTTTGCTAATTCTTTGAGAATTTTATATGATGTATTTTGATCATATTCAACCCCCACTTAAAAAACCATTTATTTTTTATTATTTATGTGTGGGTTTCTTGGAGTCTAGAAAAAATATTTTATCCCCTTGAGCAGGAATTACAGGTATTACCTATTATGTATACTGGAAACTGATCCATGGCCATCCTCAGAAAGAGCAGCAAATGCTCTTAAGTGCTGAGCCATCTCTGCATCCCCCAAGATTTATATTTAAAATTATATGTATTGTGTGTGTATGAGCATGTATGTGAGTATCACATATACATGGAGATCAAAGTTATTAAGATCCCCCAGGATTAGAGTTATGGATTGATGCTGAGAACCAAACCTGGGTTCCTCAGTGAGAGCATCAAGTGCTATTAATCACTAAGCAAACTTTATTGGCTCCAGCCCCTCTATCAGCATTTACTTCTTCTTCTTCCTCTTTTTGTTTTGTTTTTCAAGACAGGGTTTCTCTTTATAGCCCTGGCTGTCCTGAAACTCACTCTGTAGACCAGGCTGG